AGAACTATTTATTATTTTATGGTTATAGAACTATTTATTATTTTATGGTTATGTCACACGTCAATTTTTCTTTCTTTCTTACTAAACCATAATCTACCTGCTTCTAAAAATACCTGATGCATACTCTTCCATACATGCCCAGAACCTTTTAAATGATAAAAGGATGGATCTAGTTTATATTTGTACAAAGGGAACTGTAAGTTCTTGGTTCCTCATTTTTGTATGCTGGAGGAGAGTCAGGATAATGTCTGAAACTTGCTGTGAGCATAGAAAATTCAGGTTGAAAAGGACCTGAAAGGCTGTTCAGTTTAACCGCCTATTTGATGTTTGAATCTGCTCAGGGACAGCCTGAAGACTGGGTTCCGCTCATGCTCAGGACCCCACCGTGACAGCATAACTGACCACAAGGCACCCTGCTGCCCTCTCCCATGGCTTGCCTACTGCGATTTCGTCCCTAAATGGGTGAGAATGCCTGAGATTTCTCCCTGGCACTCTCACCCATTGGTCTTTGTCCAATCGGCCCTCCTGGGGTCTTATAGAATACACAGGCCTAATTCTTTCCCCCCTGACTACACCATTATCCAGTTTTATCCATTATCTAGGTTTTCTAGGTTAAACGTTCTTGGTTTCTTCAGTCATTTTTCATGCCACTTGGGTTTCTAATTCTAAAATTTATATGAACAATTTTAGAAAAGTAGAATAACTAGGAGGGACTTGCCCTACCAGATATCAAGGCTCTTTATAAAGCTATACTAATTAGGACTTTTAGGATTATATTCTCTAATTCTATTTTAAAAACAACCTTGTTGCCATTTTAATTACATTTGCATTAAATGTATGATTGATTTGGGAACTGACAGCAACTTTACAATACAGCATTTCCCGCCCATGAATGAATGCTACCTTTTGTCTGGAGTTTTAAAATGTCCTCTGCTAACATTTCATATTTTTTCCAAAAAGTTTTTGTATATCTTGTGGATTTGTTATTGGGTACCTTCAGCTTTCTTTTTCCATTATAAGTAGAATTTTAAAAAGTCATTGTTTCCCATTTATTGTTCCTGCTGTATAATAATAATGCTAGTAATTTCTGATGTGGATTTATACCCAAAAATCTTGCTGAATTCTCATATTGATGTTAACAGTCAAGGATAAATTTTATTTAATTCATGATTTATTGTCATTATTACATTCTGAGGTATCTGATTTGCTCATGGTTTATATAGGATATTCATGTCTTAACTGAGATGGGTCTGTGTCCTTTTTGTACTGATACTGTTCAGCTTTGATGTTAAGGTTCACGTGGTAGGTACTACACACTGCCTTCCCAGCTGTCACCATCCATTTCATCACCTTCCCCAGAAGCAGATCATGTCTCTCTTGAACATCTTCTTCTTTTTATCGAAGGAAAAATCTTGTATTTCATTGGCTGGAACTAGGTGGTTTGGCCTCCCCTTGCTGCAAAGGTGGTCGGGAAGGTGGGTATCTGATATTTTCAACTCATGAATTATTTGGGAATGCTTACATTTTCTAAATGATGAAAAAACTCTTTGTTGTTGTTATCAATTTATTTTTGTAATCAGCCCACAGGATCTCCATGATAGTGATTTTCTGGTATTTGTTGAGATAGATTTCTGGCCTGGTTTGTAGTCAGGTTTTGTACATTTTCGTGTGTGTTTGAAAAGCATATTGGTTCCAGGATGTAGTAATGTCCACTGGATCAAGCTTGCCATTCTGTTGTTTATATTCTCTCTGTGTCTCAGTCTGTTAAACTGATATTATGTTAAAATCCCCCACTATAACTTTAGGCTACTTATGATTTTGTCAGTGTTGCCATATATTTGTTGCTCTAGGTTGAGGTTTAGGATTTAATTCACATACCTTTATTGTGCCCACTGATGTATTCTGATTTATCTTATCATCAAAATTTGTTTTCTAGTTATGCTTTTTGCAGGATTCTCTTTGTTCTTCCTCTGCCTTCTCTTGAATTGATCAAGTTTTCTCTTGGATGTTAATTACTTACAAGTATATACCTGCTCCTTCAGAGGTCACCTTTACATTTTGAATATGCACACTTGCCTTTCAAAAGTTTAAACGAATCAACATCTCCCTCCTCTTCCTAAATAATATTTGCAACTTAAGAGTGTTTTTACTATAATTACTATGCTCTCATCTTTTGCTATTACTGTCTATTATTTAAATTCCATGAACATACCCACAATTACTCATCATTAATATTTTTAAAACATTCTATGCTCATTCAGATTTGCCCAGATGTTTACCAACTTCTTGTTTATTATTACTTCTAGACCCTCCCCCCTTCCTTCTTGGATTCAAGTTCCTTTTACTTCAAGTACATACTTTAGTAGTTCTTTCAGTATGAGTCCCTGTAACCTCTCTGTCTTTTATTGTAAAAAATAATTAAAAAATTTTTTTTATTGATTTCAGAGAGGAAGGGAGAGGGAGATAGAAACATCAATGAAGAGAGACTCATTGATTGGCTGCCTCCTGCATGCCCCACACTGGGGATCAAGCCCGAAACCCGGGCATGTGCCCTGACTGGGAATGGAACTGTGACCTCCTGGTTCATAGGTCACTGCTCAATCACTGAATCACATTACCTGGGCTCAAAAATTATTTTTATGCACAAGTCTCAGTTCCACCTCCCATTTGCATAAGCCAAGGCCATATATCTGTCCCCTATGGGTGTGGCAGCTCTCAGATGTCAGGCCTCACTTAGTTCTGACTGCCTCCGGCTTCCTTAGCATTCGCTCATCTGCTTTCCGTTCTGGTTTGAGTTTCCTCTTTATTTCTCGTACCTGAGGATTTCCCTTTCTTTGTTTGGAACTCCGCTTTATATTGTTATATTTCATCCTGTGTTTGTCATAGGAGGTGGGGGGAAGGTCCACATTAATCTTTTTGGTACTTATTCCTGGAAATCCAGATATTCTATTTATAACAAATTTCCCTCTTACTGCTGTTTATTATTCTCCTTTAAAATAAATACCATATTTTTGATAGAGAAAACAGACATGACAGAGACAGCTGGATACTTCTTGTTCTGTTTTAGGAAAAGTCAAGTTTTCTAAAATTTCTTCTAGAATTTGTAAATACAGAACATTCCCCAGGCAATAACTGTACCTGTTTTCTTACATCTCCCTTACTTCTCTTTGCTATACAGAGATGATCTGGGCTCTACATTTGAATTATATCATCTGCACTAACAAGCCAAAGCAGCATGTTTAGAAACCTCTCTCTGTAAGGAAGCCATCCGCAGGAGAGACCCAGGGCTCAGCTACTCCTGCAAATCAACAGCTGGCTGGAGGCTGAACTGGTTCCAAACCCTGGGAATTCACAGCTCCAAGGAGATGAATGGGACCAATCTAATTTGCATTTCATCGTGACTCAGGAAATCCCTGGTACTGCATCCCCAAGCAGATTAAAACATGTTGGTTTAGCTCTAGCTGGTTTGGCTCAGTGAATAGAGCTCTGGCCTGTGGACTGAAGGGTCCCAGGTTCGATTCCAGTCAAGGGCATGTACCTCGGTTGCAGGTTCAATCTCCTCTCATATCAATGTTTCTCTCTCTCCCTCCCTTCCACTCTTTAAAAATCAATGGAAAAATATCTTCGTGTGGCCCGACCACACAGGAGGTCGTGGTTCAATTCCTGGCCCAGGTTGCGGGCTCGGTCCCCAGTAGGGGGTGTGCAGGGGGCAGCTGAGCAATGATTCTCTCTCATCACTAATGTTTCTATCTCTCTCCCTTTCCTTTCCTCTCTGGAATCAATAAAATATATTTTTAAAAAATATCCTTGGGTGAGGATTAACAACAAAAACAAAACAAAAAAAAGAACACATGTTGGTTTAAGCAGCCCAAGGCTTCACTGAGAGATTTCCACACACCTAGTGACAGGACCCAAACTCTCCACAAAGAAGGAACAGTCCACTTCAGCCTGTCGGAGTGTGGAGGCCATGTGGGATCCAAATACGGCTTGAACGATGGTCAAAGCACGGACAATGGGTCAGGGAATAAACCGGGGGCAACATCCAGCTATTGTGTCAGAAATGCTTTCTGAATAATCACACGTGGGCCAATTGGAGAAGGTGCACGTGGGCATAAAGAGTATTCATGGGATAGAGTATTCATGGAAATGACAGCAAGGCCCAGACTGGTCACACACTGGTTCACGAGAGTCAACCCTTACTTTCCATAAAATATGTTCCATCTGGCATGTGACTACAAATTTCTGACCCAGGGAAAAAGGGAAAGGAAGAACATGGGCTGGAGTGGAGGTGATTTTCATGGGGAGAAAATCAAACAAGCACTGATGATCAATTATGCCATGAGTGACAAGAAAATAGCAAGAGATTAAAGACTATATTTTGCAAAGCGGAAATGGTAGTCCTGATGAGTACTGCTTTATCATCCTCAAGGCTTTCCCCATCCGAAGCAGAGGTGACCACCTCCTCCTTGGGAAGGACGGGTCCACCCAAGAAATGGAAACCACCTGAGCACTGCATAGCACACGCTGGTCACAGGTGACCGTTCGTTTGGTCAATTCCCTTGCAGATACCTGAGTGGTCACCTGACAGGAAGTGGGAATCTTACCACGCCAAGACCCCAATGGCACACGGCCACCTTCAACACTTCTTTACACTCCCTTGCAGGCAAAGCCAACTTCTCCTACTGCTAACTCTGAACCAAAGGAGAAGACAAAGCCCTTTCATCCTTAAGATCAGATTTCACCCTAACCTGTCCCTTAAAGCGTGGGGAAGGTAAGAGGGAAGCTCCTCTTGATGAAATGCAGTTGAGAACTATTTTGCAGAACACAGGGGATTCTGTTGTTGGAAGCAAGTAGATTGGTGGATGCAGAGAGCTGACCTAATGACTTTCAAGCTGCCTTTTATCCCAACCCCACCTCGACCTCAGGTGCTATGGGGCCAAGTGAGAGGGGCTTCTGTGTGGTGAGGGCCCAGAGGCAGGACACCAGCTGCCACCACTCACCTGTTGAGATACACACGCTTCTCGGTGAACTGCCCGTTGCCGTGGTTAGGGTCCTCGAAGGGCTCATTCTGGACGACTTCTACGCCTTCCCCTCGGTCACTCTGCTCATGGCTGTGCTTGCTGATCATGTACAGCTGTCCGATTTTGTACTGCAAAACACAGAGACGGAGGTCAGCCCCATGCGCCCTTCGAAAACATTCCCCCTCCCCCCTAAAACAACTAACAGCACTTTCTGCTCAGGAAAGAGAGCAGACACATGGGCCTGGTGTTCCTTCTCCTGGGGAGCGAGGAGAGCAAGTGGTGAGCAGAAGGCAGAAACGACATGTTCCTGTGAACATTCTGCATCACGTTGGCAATCACCTTGGGGTTGGCAGCCCACCAAGCCACGGGTAGCAGCAGGGAGGCGAGGGCACGGGAATCTCCCTTCCCATCGGGCCCTGCAGGGTTAAGTGGAGCTAAAATCCTATTTTTCTCAGCAAAATACAGGCCAGGGTGTGTTCCGTCTGTCCCTTCTTTTTGCCTAATTACCTGCATTGCTGGGCACAAGAGGATTAGATGTCACCTGTCTCCTCCGTCACCTCCTATAAAGGGTTCAGACTCTCCTGGAGGGCTCTGCCCCCTGGAACAGCAGTTCTCAAAGGTGGCTGGACATTAGAAGCACCTGGAAGCTCTTGAAAACTCCAGCTGCCCAGGCCCCCCAGAGTGAAACCTGTGTTCCAAAGGCCGATCTCCAGTGAGGAAAATTACGTATCTTTAACTACTTTTATCCAATTCCATTAACAGTGTGGAGCCTTCCAGCCGGGGGTCCCAGAAGCCACCTGTGCTTACATGAAAATGATAATATGGAATAACACAGAATATGGACAATTTCTCTTCTGTCCTTTTTTTCAAACTGTTCCACTCTCCTTCCTGCCTCTCTGAAAATCCTGTGGCTGGCAGGCATTTCTTCACCCAATGAACTTCCAGGGTGGCAAAACTAATTTGATGGAGGAAAAAAAAAGAGATAGAGCCTGGCTGGCATGGCTCAGTGGTTAAGCATCGACCTATGAACCAGGAGGTCACAGTTCGATTTCCCAATCAGGGTACATGGCCAGGTTGCAGGCTTAATCCCCAGTGGGAGACATGCAGGAGGCAGCCGATCGATGATTCTCTCTCATCATTGATGTTTCTGTCTCTCTCTCTCTCTCCCTCTCTCCTTTTCCCTTCCTCTCTGAAATCAATGAAGATATATTTTTAAAAATAGAAAAAAAGAGATAGAGAGGAAGGAGGGAATTAGGAGTCAGGAGACAGGACAATGCCACCTGCTGTGGTCCTTTGGGGTGAAACAACACACAGTAGTCGGGATGGGATGAGGGAAAGGGTCCTGTGTCTGCAGTAAGCTAGTAACAGTTCTGGGTTGATCCCAGGCCAGCAAGGATGCAGGTCTCCTGTCTACATGCATGAGAGAGAAAGAGATTTTAAATTATGGAGGCAGGTGAAATGTACAAGTCAGCAGGGCAATCGGTTCCAAAGCCAAGAGATCCCACTCTCACTCTGAGGCAGGTGCAGGGAGGGGAGTGTGAAGAGAATCTGAAAGGCCTTGGTCTGAGGCCAGCCCGAGGGACCAGGCCCAGTAACCATGACAATGAGAGCAGAAGGCAGCTGGTCTTCTCTAAGGGCAGTGCTCCCTGTCTGTGCCACGCCCCTTCCTAGGATGGTCGGCATTTAAAATGCCCTTTAAAAAGAAATGTTTTTTAGTGAATTTGTTGCGGTGACATTGGTTGGTAACATTATATGGGTTTCAAATGTACAATTCTATCATACATCATTTGTATAGTGTATTGTGTGTTCACTACCCCAAGTCAAGTCTCCTCCCGTCACCATTTAGCCCCCCCCCCCCCGCCTTTACCTTCTTCTATTAAAATACTTTTAACAGGAGTGTATGTGTTCTTGGGAGGAGAGATAGCTGTGAGGATAAAAGCAGCAAGAGGAGAGAGAAAAATCAAAGGTAAAATCTATTTTTAAAACAATTTCTGGGATCAGAAACATGACTTGGCTTCCCCTTAATAAGTCCTTACTTTTACTTTTGCTCACAAAGACTAACACTCTTTTGAGGAGGAAGACAGTAAGAAAAAGCGTACAGAGTAAGATCTGTGCGCTATACCCTTGAGATCAACAATCCACCTTATGCAGAGGGGAGCACAAGCCTATAACAGAATAATTCACTGCTCAGGGAGCAAAGATTTCACTGGCCGTTGCTATGTACTCGGTGTTCAAAAAAGAAGTATTAACCTACAGTGGAATATTATTCAGCTAAAAAAGGAATGAGGACTTCAGAGTAGGCACTAATCCAATGGGACTCATGTCCTTATACAAAAGGGTAAGTTGAACACAGACACACGTAGAAAGATGAGGTGAATCACTGCAGGGAGAAGATGGCCGTCTGCTAGGAACCTACTTCACCTGCTGACACCTTGATCTTGGACTGCCAGCATCCATGACTGTGAGACCGTAAGATTCTGGTTGAAGCCACCCAATGGGTGGTGCTTTGTTACAGCAGCCCTAGCAACTAATACAGTGGGTGCGGGACAAGGTTCCCTTTAGGATGATGAAAGTGTTTTGGATCTGGATGGAGGTGGTGACTGCACATTGTTATAGACTAGATGCCACTGAATTGACTTTTAAATGATTAACTTTATGTTATGTGATTTTTCACCTTAATTTTTTTTTAAGTGTTGACTCTGCTTCTGAAGTAGTTACCCCCTAAACCAAAATTCTGTCAAGGACTTTAGTGGGGGATTTGGCAGAAGGGGCATGTCTACCACTGGATGGTCTTTATTTTTCATATGTGAGTGGGTTGGAGCTCCTAAACAGGATCAAGAACAATGCATGACACAGAAAAGCCATCAGCCTGACTCTGCTCAGCTCAAGTGCCTCCTGCTCCGAGGAGAAGGGACTGGGCCTAGGCAGCAGCAGCTGATTCACGGCGCTCAGAGGAAGGCCTGGCTGCCTGGCTGCCCCAGTGCCTGGCTCACTGATTATTCCAGGGACTCCTGAATGAGCTAGTGCCCAGCAGACATCAGCCTTAGCTCACTAAGATAGAGTCAGACTAGGGGCGACTGACTGACACTAGATGCAAAGATGTAGGTGACATTGAGGGGGTGGGGGGTAAAGGGAGGGTGGGGACACTCAATCCCGGACACTGAAATGGCCAAGGGCTCAGCAGCAGTCACTTCTTTCCTTCCCAAGCAAATCAGGTCTGCTCGGCTGGTTGTGGCCCTTGGAGCTGAGCCATCCAGAAGCAAAGGTTTTGCTGCTGTTTATAAACCACAGACACATGCATTTCTCAGTTAGGGGAAGAGGGCGAGACAAGACGGTCCATGAACCACCTGCCTCAAAATCACCAAATACACTCCTAAAAATGCTAAATCCCAGGCCATTCCAGCCCTTTTACATTCAGACTCTAGGGGACAAGGAAGTTGGGAATCATACTCAAATGCACACTAAATGCTAAGAACCACTGGGTCAGAGGGAGACAAAGGCACTCATTAGGACTTGCTCAGCACAAAACGGTGCCCAGGCATTTCTTGCAAAGCTCCGTCCTAATTTAGTGAAAATACCACATCCTTGACCATCAACTCCAAACAAACTCATATGTCAAATGAACACAGCCAAATCCAAAGACTCAGAACTCCACAGACTTTGAAGCCAGATAATTGATGGTGACGATGTTGATGATAATAGTGATGGTGGTGGTGATGACGATGGAGTGAAACAATACAGCTTAACTGATATCCTATAAGTTAGGTGCTTCGTGTTCATTTCTAATACAATGACTCATGCAGAGGGGTATTTTCAGATGAGGAAGCTGTCTCAGAGAGGTTAGAAACTCTCTCAGGCCCCGAGCCTTCTAGGTGGTAGAGCTGGGATTTAACATCACAGGTCTGCACTCTTTCTTCTCCACCCAACTTCAGCCTTTATGTCTCTAACAGGTGAATTGCTTCAACAAATCAAAGCCTCACTGTGATTAAAGGGGGGAGGAGGGTTGTTCAGAGCCACTGTTACAGAAGATGAATAATAAAAGCCCGATATCATTTGAAAGATCAAAGTTGTTTAAACTGTGCTCACATATGAAATGGTGGAGCAATTATGCTCTAACTTGGTAAAATCTATTGTTATAATTCCAGAGGTTGGATAATCATCATTACAGGCAATCACAGTAGAGACAGCTCTGCACTGCAGGGCTGGGCCCCCATGTGAGCCATCGTCAGGATAGCTACCCCAAGTAATTATCTCTGTAGTTAAAAAGCATCATGGGGACTCCGATCTTTCCCACTTGCACACAGTGCCACAAAATTTGAGAGAAGGAAGAGTTGCGTAATGTACCTGGAAAAGCCGAGAGATTTCAACAGTCTGCACTTTGCAAACTCTATGGCTGGGCATAATCATCCTAATACAGTTCAACCTCCAACTCTGATGTTACAAAAGGAGACCCCAAGATGAAGCTCCTGAGAATGGTAAAGAATTATTAACGGAGCACCAGTAACACCGTGAACATCACCCTTGCCAGAAGAACTACTGGACCCAAAATTTTAGGCTCAACAGAACTCCTAAGGCTGATTTGCACTTAACTGCTCCCCAAAGCTGCTGAGCTTCAGAGATCTCTGCAAGCTAGCCTCCCATACACCCCACCCTAAAGAACCAAGGTGTAGCAACCTATCTTCCTTCCAACCCTGTCTCCTCCCTTCCTATTCTCTTTCTCTTCCTCCCAATTCTATTTCCAAACCTCTGCTTTGCAATAAACATCATTGACTCCGTATGGAGTTATCTCCTGATGATATGACGTGGGACCTGAAGGCAGATACACCATCAAAATGAATGGATGTCACATAACCCAATGACCACAGAGAAATACCTATCCTCTGACTTAACGTGGTATCATGTATTTTTTCCACCTGTGAAATGGGCTTGATTCCTGCCTGTCTTACTCTGGCTGTGTGGGAGAAGGAAACAGTAGAGGGCGATACAATTTGGTATTCTTGGGAGTTTCCCACATTATTCACAGCACTGTTAATGCATTTGTTGAAATTCTTTCTTCTAGCCTTCTCCACTCTCAATACATGGACCTCAAAGTGCAGTGAAGCAGTTGCCTCATGAAGGGCAAGGAGAT